TCCAAAAGGGAAAAATAGCCCCGAACTCTGCTCACTCTCAAGAGCTGATAAAGTGAATTTAACCACCCCCTACTTCCTTCACACATTTCCCCAGCTCTGAAGGTCAAGACGTCAAATTCTCTGACTGCTTTTATTTAGTTTAAGGAATGATGTAGCCTTCCTTTGTCAGCCCCAACCATGAATCCCCCAAACCTTGCTCTCCCTACCAGTTAGACAGGACCACCAAATCCAGGCAGCTGTTGGGGAGCTGTGCTTGTTCACAACACCAGATAGCTGAGCAGGTCTGAGGCACAATGAACTTCTGAAGCCACATCAAGTGAAGCTTTTACACAGGAGAAGGAAAAAGAAGCCATTTCTAAGGGTTTGAGAGCATCACAAAAGCAATTGTGCTAACAATGCACACTTTCAATGTGATTTCCTATCAGAAGGCAAAGCAATCCCAACCTTGAAAGTTTGGAAATCATTTTCAAATCTGACAGTCCCCCAGGCTAAAACCTGAAGCTGAGGGGTTTTAAAGCCCATCTTTAATCAAGATGACAATTTCCTAAAAGGATGAGTCATTTTATTTCCTCCACAATAATAATGGGAAAGAAAACTTTTTTTTTTCAAGTTGGAAAGAGAGAAAGTAACAAGAGCAGAACCTATAATAGCAGCAAAACCAGTCCCAGTAGAAACCACAAGCCCTGCAGCAAAACATTGGGAACGTTCTCAGATGAAGTTCTCCCACAGACTCCCGCCTTTCTTGCTAGGCTTTGGACTAGTTCTAAACTTTGGATCGCCAATGCCCTAAAATCACCTGGATTTCCCAGCAACAAGTCAGCTGAGGCTAGGTTTTGCAGTGGGTTTCATCTGAACACCTATTTCTTCTCCATGCACAACCCTGCAGTACTTCTCCCAAACGCTGTTTGATTGCAGCATGTAAATGCTCAAAACCCTGCATGCTCACATGTTATGGTGGGCAAAAGTGACAAGCTGAACTTTCTGAATGTGGCTTAAATCCTATTGAATTGGCCCTGCTGCAGACCATGCATCATGGAGCACATTTTGTCAGGTATTAATGCTGCTTTTCAACATCGTTGCAGACCCACAGATCACAGATACTTCAGAGATGGGTAGTTAAGGGGCAGCAAGAAGGATGCCTGGGCATATGGTTAAACAAATCAGTCATCAATTCACTGGGAGAGCTTTCATTTCCAGCACAGCAATCTGTTGGATCCCAGAACTGTTTTTACGTGGTTCATTAGACAATAGCCTTTCTTGCTACTAGTTGGGTCAAGAGTCAAAATTGCTGTGTAATTGCAAGTCTCCAAGCACAACGCAAGAGTTTTTCAGTCCTGGAGGGTGTTGTCCAAAGGGGAAAGAAAACAGAAGGGAAAGATTATGTGTGAGCAATTGAGCCCTACTGAGAGGGCAAAAAAAGTCACTGAAACTGGGATTAGCCAAATCTTGTAATGGAAAACAAGAGTCCTGTTGGTAAGCTGGCACTTACACCTAAGAGACATGTGTGCTGGGGAAAGGAACTCAAAGGATGGGTTCAAAACAGACTAGAAGAGGAGATTAAGCAGCATCTGAAGCCAAAAAATGATGGTCAGACCTTTTCAAGCATTTAACTTCTTGAGTTAATTAAGCATGTGGCCATAGCAGTTATTAAAGAAGAACAGTTCCCAACTTAATCAAAGTACATTATTGGAAATGATACTGAGAAACCTCAGTAGAGAAACCCAGCAAGTATCAAGTCAAACTAAATAGCTCAGTTATGATTATTATTAATAATAAATCATGGCCACTGTTTCTTTTGTTTGCCAACAACTAGCATAGTTTATGGCTCTGCACAAACCTAACACACCATTTTATTGCATTTCAGAGAGTGCATCCTCCTAAAATGATAATGTGTTAATAATCTATGCTGGGCTTTTTGGCAGGAACCAAAGAGCTCAAACAACTTGAAATAACATCAGCAAAAAATTATTTATTCCCCATCCCTAGTTGCAGAGAAAACAGAGGTTTTCTTGGCTCAGTTACTTCTCAATAGATTTCTGGTTTCAATTAAAACTTTGAGTCTGAGAAGTTAAAAAAAAAAAAAAAAAAAAAAAAGCCAAAGCCAATAAGAGATGGAAGAGAAGTCTCCATTCACTGTGTGTTTCTGCTCCCCCCCCCCCCCCCCCCCCCCACTTTTACATAACCCTTCCAAGCTAAGAGCAGAGGCTAAAGCACAACTACATTGTTTGGAAGGTTTTTCTCCTTTCGGCTAAAAAGCAAATGGCCAAAAAAGAATTAAAAAAATAAATAAATCATGGGTGTCTCCCTTTACGCAGAAGGCCAGCATGCGGCTTTGCATCCCGAGGCGATTTCCCCCCTGATTTCTGCAGGTTTAGGGCAATGCTCCCAATCATCCCAGCCTGGGGCAGCCGGGTTGGGGGCTGCAGCCGCTCGGGGCTGTGGCTCCAACAGCCCTGTCCCCACAGAGGGCCACTGTTGCTGTCGCTGCCAAGGGGTCGCGATACGCTCCCTGGCAGCAGAGGGCTGCTCAGCACCTCGCACACCTAACGGATGGACATTTCAGGCAGAGCCCCCACGGGCTCCCCAACACCTCAGCCTAGGGTGGGGGCACCCCATTGTGGTGCCCCCCCCCCACCCCAGGGACCCAGAGTGGCCGGGGGACCCTGTCCCACCCCAGCCCCAGGGCCACTGCTGGCTGCGAGGTGCCCTTGGAGCATCAGGCGTCGGGCCCACGATTATCAGCGGCGTTTATTGGAAGCGGAAACGAATCGGAAATCCTTCTCTCAGCGGCCTTTGTAGGAGCAGGGATACGCGCAGGCAGCGGCAGGCTGAGCTGAGCACAGCGGGGCAGATGGTGCCGGGGTGCTGCACGGACATGCGGACACTCACACGTGGACATACGGACACTCACACACACTCACTGAATGCCACACTGGCACACTCACTCGCTCACCGCACACGGAACAGGGTGGGAGGTGGCCACTGCCTCGCCTCGGGGACCTGATCTCCCCCTGCCCGTGGCATGGGGGGAGTGTAAGATGGGGTGTGAGTGAGTATGTTAGTGTGGGTGTCTGTGAGGGTGTGTGAGAGTGTGTTTGGGGGGGGGGGGGGGGGATGTGTGAGCATGTGAGAGTGTGTGTGTGCATGTGGGTGTGCATATGTGTGTGTGTGAGTGCCTGTGTGTGAGGGTAGGTGTGAGGGGAGTGTGTGAGAGAGTGAGTGTGCAAGTGAGAGTGTATGTGTGTGTGTGCATGTGGTTGTGCATGTGGGTGTGAGTGTGTGTACACGAGTGTGTGAGCGACCACGTGTGTGTGTGCTGTGTGTGTATGCGCAAGTATGAGCGCATGTTTCTGTGTGTGCATGTGTCTGAGTGTGTGTGCATGTGAACATGTGTGCACGTATAAGTGTGTGCATATGAGCATATGTGTAAGTGCGTGTGTGTGCATGTATGTGCATGTGTGTGTGTCTGTGTCTGTGTGTGCAGGTATGTGTAAGTGTGCATGCATGTGTGTGTGAAAGAGTATCGGAGTGCGTGTGTGAGTGTGTCTATGTGTGTCTATGCGTGTTGTGTGTGTGCCCGGGGCTGGGCAGGGAGCCTTGCACCAGGGCTGGGGCTGACAACAGCTGCCCTCAGCTGCAGCCTGGGTTGTGCCCCCCTGGCACACACACCCCCACACACGTACAAACATACACACAGACCCACATGTACTCACACTTGCACACACTCGCACAGACTCACACACACATGCATGCACACTCACACATACATGCACACACACATTGACACTCTCACACTTGCACACACACATTCGCACACATTCACACGCACACTCACACTTGCACACACATGTATCCACACTGCCACACACACTCACATACACATATTCACAGGTTTGCACACTCTCAGTCACACACTCTCAGACACACTCACACATACCCATACGCGCACACACACTCGTATACACTCACAGACATACACACATACACTCACACATACACTCACACACACACACACTCACACTCACTCCCCCCTCCAGCTCCTCCTCTCCCCTCCCCCCCCTCCCCAGCTCACTGGGGGCCACCGGGGGCCCCGTGGCGGCGCGCAGGGACTAATTATCCCCAATTAACAACGTGCCTCGCTCCAGCACCGAGCAGGAGGGTCAGCAGGGGGGTGTCCCACACCTCTAAACCCCCCCACACTCTCAGCTCCCCCCCAAGCCCCCCCCTTGCCCGCTCCCGCCGCGTCCTTCCCAATGTCAGAGGGGCAGCGGCGCCCCCCCAGCGGGCAGCCCCGAGCACGGGGGGGGGGTGCACGCCCACCCTCACGCCCACCCGCTCACACTCACACTCACACTCACATTCACACGCACGGATCCCGAAAAGGTTACAGGGTTGCTCTCTAGCTCCACTTAACCTGCAATTTACGAAGCCGGGGAAGAGGGGGGGCTCTCCCCCTGCTTTCCCCACGCCGAGCTGCCACCTCCCCGCGGCCCCGCTGGGGGAACGCATACAGGCTAGCAAATTTTGGGGTGTGTGGGGGAAGGTAAAAGGGGGGTACACATTATGCGAACTCCTAAAAAAAATGCAACCCCTTCCCAGTAGCACGCTCGTAACCGCAACCGCCCCCCCGCAACACCCCCCAAACGAGCCCATGCACCCCCCCCGCAGCCACAAAGCATGGGGAGAGAAGGGGTCGGGGGGAGAGGGCTCGCATGCATCGCAGGGCACAGAAATTCCCCCCAGCCCCCCATAAATAAAGACCTTCCCGCGCCATTGCAAAGTCACAACACGAAAAAAAAAAAAATAAAAGAAGAAAAAAAAAAAGGAGACGACATTAACTTTTGCATGCAGAAGGGAAAAAGGCAGGGGGGGTAAAGGGGAGGGGGGGTAAGAAGCGAGGGGGTGAGACCCTCCCGCAATCCGGATCAGCAAGACAGACCTTTCCTCGATGCCTCCCGGTTTTTGTCGTTTTTTTTTTTTTGTTTTTTTTTTTTACTAACCCATATCCCCCCAAAAAACGGCAGCGGGGGCTTCTTAGCAGCTTCCTCTTCTTCTTCTTTCTTCCTCCTCCTCCTCCCTCGGCTTTCCCCCCTTCTTGTCTCTTCTCTTTTAGATCCCGGTTTCGAGCCCTCGCCACAGCCCCCAAAGGTGCTTTTGCTTGTGTTGCGGCAAACCCATGGCGGTGTTCATCTGTCAGATTAGGGGAGCGCACGGCCGCGCAGCACACGCAGAGCGCAGAGGGAGGAGGGCGGGGGGAGGAGGGAAGGCACCCGGGGAGAGGGAGATGGACGGACAGACAGCCGGCTGGAGAGCTCGCTAGATAAATGATAGATAAATAGAGCGAGGGAGAGCGAGAAAGGGGGGAAAATGGCGTCTTGGAAGCCGGAATCCCGGAGTAAATCAAATTAACACGCAACACCCAGAGAGCAGTCCCGGCTAATTTTAGCAGGATCCAAAATAAAATGGAAAGGAAAAGGGGGGTGGGAAGGAGGAGAAGGAGGAGGGGGGTGAAAGAAAGCAGGAGGGGGGGAAGGAGGCAAAAAAAAAAAAAAAAGGGGGAGAGCAAAAATAAAAAAATAAAATCAATGCACTGGATAAAATCCTGGATTTGAAATCGATGGAGCTTGTCTCTGGCTCTCTCGGTTTTCCTTTTCTTTTCCTTTTTTTATTTTTTTTTTTTGGAGTGGGGGGCCCCCCCCTTTTTTTTTTTTTTTTTTTTTTTGCTGCCTGTTTGTTGCTGCCGGTTGTTTGGGGGCCTTTTGCAGGGGGGCGCGGGGAGGGGAAGCGTTTTCGCTTTTGCTTTTTTCCCGGCGAGGAGTTAAAAAAAAAAAATAGAGAAAAAAAAAAAAAAAAAAAAAAAAACGAGAAAAAGGCTGCTTTTTTTTTGTTGCTGTTTTGTTTTTGGCGGCGAGGAAGCTGTTCCCTTTATTCCTGCTCTCTTCTCCGGAGCGGGCCCCGGTGCTGGTGCCGGAGGAGCTCCGGCGGGCTGCGGGGCTGCAGCCGCCCGCTCCCCCCGGCGCGCCGCCCCGCACCGCCCCGCACCGCCCCGCGCCGGGCCGGGGGAGGGCAAAGGGGAGGCGGGGGGACCCCCTCCCCAATACCCCGGGTCTTATACGGGCGAGGGGTCGGTGCTCGCACACCCGTCCCCCGCTCCCGGCTCGGCAACGGGGTGTTTTGGGGGCCCGCTTTTTGCTCCCCGATGATTTTTTATTTTTTTTTCCCCATTTCTCTGTCTTGTATTTTGTCTTTGGGTCTGGGTTCCCCCCTCCCTCCCTCTCCCTCTCTGCGAGGGGCGGTGATTTATTTAAGCAGATCTGGGGGCTGCTGGCTCCAGCTCTCTCTTTCCCCGGTTTCTGTCGCTCCCGGAGTCCTGCAGCACTGCCGGGGGAGGTGAGGGGGGCGGGATTTGAGGGGGGGGGGGTAGAATAAATGGTAATGATCAAGCACACACACATATGCACACACACACACACAGACACACACACACACACGCTCACACTCGGTGTGGCTGCAATGCTCAGCCCTGGGTTAATGTACTCAACAGTGCCACTACCTGACACAACAGCAGCACTGATGGGGGCAGGGGAGAAAAGGCAGAGAAGGTGAGAGACTGGGCGCAGAGCTGCTCAGCCCACCCCAAAGTCTCCCCTCCCACTTCCCCCTGCACATTCTCTTGTCACACCGCAGCCCCTGTAGGCTCAGGCCCTGGGCAATAAGATTTTAGTGTCCGGTGATCGCTGCTCAGAGCTGACATGGGGCTGGAGGGGGCAAGCAAAGACCTCGACAGCTTTGTGAAGGTGAGGATGAAACCTCCCTTGTATTAATCGTTAGTAGTGCCCAAAATACAGCTCAAAATCTGCCCTGGTCCTAGGGACGTGAGGGCAGGAACCGTGCAAAATCCAAACCCTTGTTTTTTTTATTTCCCAGACTTGCTCTTCCAAACCCTTGTTTTTTTTATTTCCCAGCCTTGCTCTTCCAGCAGTCTTGATGCCATTGCTGTTTGGGCTGCCAGCTTGGGAAACCCTTACTCACAGGTGTAAATTGTTGGCTTGCCCAAGTAATCATGAGGGTGACAAGTAGAAACCCCAGAAAAGGAAGGGTTGTGGGATGGAGCTGTGCAAGTGCACTTACAGGTGAAGGTGATGTCGGGAGGACCCTGCTTGGGTCCGTCTGGCAGCGACGGGGCCGCTACCACCCATTGCCATGCCATCCCCAGAGCGTTTCAGGAGGCTCAGAGCACAGAGTTTCTCCCCTTCGCTCTGGTACAAACAGTAACCACAGGCCATCATCTGAGTGACCTGAATTCTGGGCCAGCTGATGCAAGGACTACCTGGGTTGACCCTCACCAGCCACAAAAGCAAATTAATATCCCATAGCCCCTTATATGTGCAACAATGTATGTGTCCTTCTATACTACAGGTCCCCGTGTAGATCCAGCTGGGTAGGAGGGCTCTGTATGGCCCATGAGATGCCAGAATATCCTTCACCACCCCTCTTGAGAGTCAACTAAATGGGCAAGTATGTGTCCTTAGCCCCACTGTGCTTTCTGGGATAATGCTTTCTGGAAAAATCTCCTAGATGAAAACCACCCTGAGCCATTTTTCCCTTTATATCTCTCCAGATGACTCACCTCTGCCATGCTGCCTGCAAATCTCAAACTGATGAGTTTGGGTAGAGGCAACAGGCCATGTCCGTCCTTCTTCTCCTGTGGTCCTGTCCTCTCACTTCTCTCCACCAACAGCAGAACACAAATAAACAAATCAATAAAATACACAAAAAACTATGACCAACAGATCAACCCCACCTCCATCCCAAACAAATACGCAACCCAAAAACTTTTGAATCGGAAATGTCACACTGAAAATGTTGACATTTCTGATTGAAGCCAAACAAGAATTGTCATTTCAAATCAGCACTTTGACATGGAGTGGAGGCTTGTTTGTTTAAATCAAATCACCCAACTGGAGCTACATTTTGTCATTTTCTATCCAAACACAATGAAGAGAAATAGTTTCAACATTTCTTGGCAGAGCTGAGAATGACATTTTCCTGGGAAGAATTTTAGTTTCAAAAACTTTTGGCAGGTAAATCTGCACTGAAGACCTCCAATGACCATGATCTTCCATCTTGGAAGAAGCCAACCCACAAGATTAGGAAATAATTGGTTTGATTGAATTAATACAGAAAATCAAACTCTAGACCAAAATACTCCAACAAGAAAAAGAACAGCAACAACATTAATTTTGATTTTCCTTTGTTAGAAAATTATCTTTTGCTCATATTTAATAAATTCGGGGTAAAAACTAACTCTTGAACCATTGCTCTTTTTATCTTGTTTTCTTTTCTTCTTGAGACTATACATATACATATGTATTTAAGCAGCACCATTTAAATAATTTCAAACTGAGAAGTTCAATTTGGAAAGCAATCTAGATAATGACTTATTTAATGATCACTTGCTTTGAAGACATGGAGAAATCTAAAACTAAAATGAAAAAAAAAAAGCTTCAAAACTGTTACAGGAACTTTTTGATTGATCCAAAGTTATTTTTAGGTCTGTGTTACATATGACTTGCAAACACAGAAATATCACACCTAATTACCTGTAGACCACAAACTGAGAAAACCCATCGGACTAAATCTTGTAAGCAGAAAACGAGCCATTCCTTTGAGGGATCACTCTGTATTATGTGTGAGCATACATCGTTATGCACACTGAGTTAACTTCAAAGGATTTCTTAGCTATAGTTTTGTCTTCTATACCTAGAACATTTTGCTTTTTAAAAAATCTCACATTCTGATTCTTCAGTGTGTCAGGGAGTTAGTACAATCTGAGTGGTTAATATGCAGAAGGAAGTTTACTTTTCTTTGTTATTTTCACTTAAAAAACACCATGGCATTCATAAAGTTGGTTTGGTTCCTGCAGTGGACCTGAGATGCATTTCCTATTTGTGTCTGATAATCTGTACATAACCTTGACTCCATGAGACTGGCAGATGTTTTATAACGAAGGCCATAAGCCTGTTATTTTTATATAAATAGTATATTGAGTTAAATATATATACAAGCTTTTCTAGGTTCAAGGTATGAATTAATGTTAGGCAGAATTGTTGGGTGATGTGTAAATGAATGCAAAAGTATAAAGGTATCTTGCAAGGCCCCAGCAGAACACTGTCAGTGTTTTATGTGCTTCAAAAATGAAAACAAATCATTAAAAAACACTATTTACAATTGGTTTAACTGCTTAAAGTAAACCATTTTGTTTGTGTGTTTTAGCTTTTTAGCTCTCTAGTGAACTTCTGAGTTTTACGTGGAAGATATCTATCTGCCTACCTACACACACATTGACTCTTGGGCATATGCTGGTTAGCAATTCATTGTATCTCATTGCAACACAAGAGATGAGAGATTATATTCCAAGGCAACTGAAAATAGAGGGAAATATAATGTATGGGAAATGCATTTTCCATTTTCTGTTCAAGAATTTGAAAATCAGCTGTTTGAACAATTGGTCAAAAAATAGAAATAACAGTGATTTGAAAAGTTGCTGTTTTATTTTCCAGATCCCTCAGACATGGTGTTGAGTTTCAACATTGTTGCATGAACAAAGGCAAGCAAGAATCAAAATTCAAGGGCTGGAAACCAAGTGCAAAACTAACTTTAGTAGATATAAATGCACCCTTGGGTTGTTTCTCCACTAGTATACTTACTCCCCAGTGTCCCAAACCATTTCTCTGTTGAGTATTTCAATAACTGAGTATTGTTATCCTTATCTCGGCATCTCCTTGATAGGGACAAAGACTATACCATGCTTATTACTATCCAAAACCAAAATAAAACAGATTTAGTCTTCAATTTATCAACCAGAACAATTAGAAGAAGACCTTGTCAACTTAGCAACATTTCATTACAGCATGGGTGATGACAACATGGGAGGCTAAGGTTCAAGTCCAGACTTTCTTATCTACCAGATCTTTCCACAGCCGGCTTCCCATTACTGAGCCAGTGACTAAACATTTCTGTGTAATCAGGCAGCACACAAAAGTTGTAGGTCTCAGTGGTGCAGCATTTGCTGACACACCAGCAGAAGACCAGGATCTGCCCTTTGCACAGGTTGCTCAGACTTGTGAGTCCTTTTGAAAACCTTTAAATGTTTTTGCCTCCTGTAGCTCTTTCAACATCCGTCAGTTTGTTACTACTCTTACAGTTGTGGTTATATTTCACAGTCTTTCCAGAGCAAACAAGTAACTCTGATCTCGTAAGCACATGAAATTCTTTCCCTCATACATAACTTCAAAGAAACTAATTACTAATAAGCATCAAAACCTACCCTGGATTCTCATGTGCATCGTTGATCTAATATGCTGTGGATTTCAATCACAGTTTTCATGCTGATTACAATTTTGCATATTATATATAGAGAGACTTGTATATATATATATATATATATACATACGTATATGTATATATTTAAGGCTTTATAATTTAACATAGAAGCGTGAATGTGAATAAGAAACATAACACATTAGCAAAAATGTTACATCAGTCAATGAAGCCAGGTCTGGCAGGAGGTAATTTAAAGCTGCATAATTTAGGATGGGAAGTGAATGGAAATGCTGGGTCTGTTTGGGAATTCTAGGTATAAAGAATTATTTAATCTAACTCTACAAGAAAGTCATAAAAGGAACTGTTAACTAGAAGTTGAAATCAGAGAGATCACATTGCTATGAAGATGCATGTGGTTCACAGTGATTAATCATTCCAGAAATTTAATAGGAGTATTGGTAAAAATCACCATCTCATGACATTTTCAGGTTGGAGACTGGATGACTTTCTAGAAGATATTTTTTTAGCCAGGCAAAAGTAATTGGGTTCAGGACAAGAGCAGACATGAAATGAGTTAAGAACTGCCTAACTGACAGTTTTTTGAAAGTAATTGTCAATGCAGAATTATTATCGAAGAGGAGTGTTACTAGAGTTTTACCCTATGCTATTCATCAGTGATCTGGAAGTAAATATAAAACTACTCCTAGTGACATTTGTAGATGACATTATGGTTGGCAAAATAGCAAAGAATAAGAGTCCAGGGCAGCCTGGTGAAACAAACTGCACCGCTTGGCTCAGGCAAAAAAAAAAAAAAAAAAAAAAAAAAAAAAAAAAAAAAAAAGCATTAAGGTGCTAGTTCTGGTTCTTGGAAACTCAGACAAAAGCCTTGTAACATGACCAACTGCAGCTTGGACAAACACTGCAGTGCCAGCTCAAAGCAGGACCCTCAAATCCCAAAGCACTGATGCGATCCTTGGCTCTGCAGCCAGGTGACTTGTGGTGTATGGCACTGGTAAGGGTGAACCTGAAAAGCTGTTTATGGGTCTGACAGCCACATTTCAAAACATACAGTGACAAAATTGGAAAGGGTACAAAAAAGAGCCACAAAAATGATTGAGGGCTGGAGAAAATGATTTGCAGGGCAAGCACTGAAGAATTATGTTTAGCTATCAGAAATAGATTTAATTTCAGGGAGAAAATACCTTGTAGGGGAGGAAATTACAAGGTATCAAAAGGCTGGAGAGAGGCACCTAATTTCTCAAAGGAGCTGGGCTGGGGCAGTTTCTCCCCTCAGTATTTCCTAAAGACTGTTTTAAGTGACCGCTACCCCTTGTAAATCCAACTAATCCCTAAGTTTGTCCAGGAACTGCAATGGAAATCCCTCAGTTAAAGCTTTGGGGTCCACTCTGTGGCTAGGCATTTTATTTCCCCAGAGCAATTCTGTGTTTGCCCAGGGATTCCTTTCTGGGGGAAAAAAAAAAAAAAAGTTTATCTGAATGAATTAAATTATTCTTTAGCCTAAACCAAGGTGAAACACTGATATCCCTGACAGGCTGGAGACAGACTATGTGACCTAGATGGTCCTTCCTGGCTTGACAGTCTTTGAAAATAAAATTGCAGAAGAATCATGTACATGTATATCTGTCGAACTTTGGCTGACAGCAATGCACACCTCTCATGAAAAGTCCCACATAATTCAAATCCTACTACTCCTAGTTGAAAGTATCAACTATCCAATGGCTGAAGAAACACCACCATAAGGTGAGGAAAAATCATGACTTTTCATAAGAAATTATGGAATGATTGTTAAAGGAAATTTTTGCTTTGTCTAGCTGTGGTAAGGATGATTTCTCCAGTCCAGGATGGACTTGGCAGAGAAAGTGACAGAGTCACCTTCATGGCAAGATCCCTGTGGTAACGTGTGATATGACTTACATTTCCAGCCTATCCAAGTCAAAGCAGACACCTGAACCTCTTCTTCTAGATAAGTGCTCCAAATATGACAGTTGGCTATTCTTGGATGGGTCTGCCATTATGTTTTGTGGTACTGATCTGTTAGGCATGAATAACATTAATTGGATCAGGGATAATTGATTGTCTTTGTATCTGGATGTTGTATGGAAAAGAAAATTTTATTTCTTTTTTTCTCCTGAAAAACAAAAACAAAACAAAACAAAACAAAACAAAACAAAACAACAAACACACACACACAAATAAAAATAAAAAAATAAAAACACACAGAATAACCTCATCTTTATTAAAGTATGAACTGCACTCTCCTTACCACCTCCCGAAAATCACTGTGCCATCAAACTTCAGAGAATATGAAAACATCTTTTTCCTTTGGTCTGTGTGGTTTTGTTGGGCCAGTCACAAACAGGGGAACACAAACCTGACATCATGTCAACATTCTGAGAATGCATTTCACAGTTGAGCTGAGACTGGGTTCAAAACCATTTGCAGAAAAAAAAAAAAAGTGTGCTCACATGCTGTTAGTGTTGTGTAAAGTGTCTCAGGCAAAGTTGGCAATGGGTAACATCCAGTTCTTGCTATCCATTGACCTTCTTTATCTTAAATGCAAGTCATTTTATCTGTTCCCTTCCTTCCAGGGCTTCACAAAACTTGATGCATGGGTGCTTTATGTGTTTTAATTATTTACCATTGTTGTGGGACACCTGAAACTTTTGAAGATGGAAACATGAGGATCAAGGTGTACCACACTGTAGCATCAAGCTCTATCTGAATAATGGTGTGCAAACATAAGTAATACATCAGGGTTTTTTTTCACCTCACATGAGCTCACCAGCCATGTAACATAAGAACGGGCCCCTGCAAGGCCAGGGTACAAAGCTCAGTAAGAATCACTGCTGTTGTTAAACCTCTGTTGTCTGTGTTGGGTCTCATCCAAGGATAGCACCTCTCCCAAGCCGAGCAGCTGATGACATCAGGCAGTTCACGTACCTG